TATAGATGCCTCTCTATGTTATAATCATGCACTGTTTATCCCTTTTTGGGTTCTTCATTCTATTCTTCTCGTTCTCCCTTCTCATATTCGTTCCAACCAAGCTGGACAACTTCACCCGCTTCGTGATTCATGGACATGATTTGACGTGAGTTTTCAATTTGTAGGTTTTGATCAATTTGGTACATCTCAGTCTTCTCTCAATTAGCCTTCATCTCCAGTTGATGTTTACTGTTTGTTATGACTAGATCAAGCTTATACGAAGCATCTTTCAACTCAGGAAGTAAGGAGTCGTATGATGAGCGTTTGCGCATTTGAGCATTCTACTCCTAGAACGATCATTCATATAGCCAGTGTGTGTTCTTCATGCTCAGACTACTGAAGAGATCGCTACAAACTTATGGAACTTCAATGTTGCCTATAAGGTCTGTAGGAACGTAATAAAATCCTAGCAAAGAAACGAGAAAAGAGTTATTAGAGAGGTTAAAGCTGAAAGTTATAGAGAGCATGAAGAATCAAGAGAGCTCCTTGGGTTTTGAGAGAAGCAGAACACCGTCTTACTAACGCTCAATCACGTACGTACGGTTCGAATAATTCGATACCCCAATGATCTTCCACATCTTCGTTATGGTTAGTTGTTGATCTATAATCTGAGTGATTTCTTTTCGAAACAGATAGAATTCGCCCCCTGTTGCTCAGTTTCAGTCATTTGCATGGGATGTACAGTTGAGGGTGTAGTCAGTTGTCTGGGGTTTATTGCTCTTACGAAATGCTATAGCTCATCCTCTTTCATCATAAGGCATTTGAAGGTTGTGGAAAGAGCAACATGATTATGAAATGGGTTAGTTGGATTCTTATTCTCCTTTATATGTTCCTGTTTCAGGTAAGCGCCACTTCTATCAACATCAACATCAACACACGACTGTCATAGGCAGGTATCCGTACTCCGTACTCAACATCTCTGACGATGTGAACAGGAACAGCACAGAAGGCTACTGTTCCTGTTCTCAAACAAAGAGAAGCTGAGAAGTTTTGTTTTGTGTTTTGTATTCTGCCTAGATCGTCTCCAGCTACTACAGATTTCCTGGTCTTCATACCATCGCGCAACGGTTCACTCATCTCTGATGCATGAATGTCTCAAAGCAACCAATTGTTACTTCGTTCATTGTTTTCACACGTTTGTACCAGGATGTAGCTGATCGCTTCAACACTCGAACGTTTTGAACAAATACGAAAAATTATTTTTGTTTATACATGAATGGCCTAACCGTTCTCGACAGCTCCCTATTGCCTCACTCACAAGCGAACTGATTTCACGTACCTCAGATGTCTCTCTATGTTATAATCATGTACTGTTTATCCCTTTTTGGGTTCTTCATCATCTTCTTCTCATTCTCTCTTCTCATCTTCGTTCCAACCAAGTTGGGCAACTTCACCCGCTTCGTGATCCATGGACATGATTTGATGTGAGTTCTCAGTTTCAATCTTTCATCATTGTCTTTGCAGATCTGCCTTATTGATGCTCTATATTACTTTGGGGGCAACACCGACTTACCTCTTCCCATGTAGATCTGGATACGTGAGTGGCTTCCTTTCCCATTTTGAAATCAAACCTTTGGATCAATTGTGTATTCAACTGACATTGATTGCTCGTACACTCACTTGAGTAGAGTAGAGATGACGTTCATCCATTTCAGTCAACAAATCCTTTACTCTCCTTCTCACCATCAATCGAACGTTCGCAATCAATACATGGATGAAGAAACATAAACACCTCATTCTAATCATATTCTTCGCGCTAATGGTTGTCCAAGTCGTTGTTTCGTTCGTCACTAGCTTCAACCCCAAAGACGGCGGAGAAGAAGCACGGCAGGCTTGTCTCGCGGTTTGTACCTTTTTCATTCCTTGAAACACTCTTTCTAGATAATCACCTATGAATATCCCGAAGTGATGTATACTTTTCGAGGATTTGATATGTTGCTTCAAGATAAGAACGGCCTGTTCACCTCTCTATATACAGGAGTAACTACTGCAATTTACATGGTCGTTGCAATTGTCTGTGTTTCTATCCTTGTCCAGAGCATCAGAGAGCAAGCGAAGTCATCTCAGTCGACTCAATTCTTAGCCAACCAACGTAGAATAACTTCCGGAATCGTCTACTTCGTAAGCTTCTTCTCTCCTACTCAGAACAATGTAATCCAGATGATTCTCGAGATAGTTGGATTGAGCATTCCATTTATAGTTATCAGTGCATGTTTTGTTCTCAGGGTGGGAAATACAGGTAAAGCTTCCCTTAGTCACCGACTTACGAATTCGTACATCTCAGTCGTCTCTCA